GCATGCCCAGGAACGGCTTCTTCTTCTTGTTCATGGCTGCGACTACGGCCAAAGCCGGGAAGGCAGGGGACGAGGCTCCGCTGTCAAAGGAGTCGCGGCCTCCCGTCACCCACACCCCGGAAGCAAAGCGCTCTCGGCACAAGGCCCCGCCCGCCTCGGGCTCCCCGGCGGAAGCCCCGGCGCGCCGCTGACGACTTCCGGTCGCGGCCAGGTGGCGGGTCCAGCGGGCGAGGGCGCAGACGCTGCAACGCCGCCTTGTGGCCGGGCGTCACGAGGCTACACCTCCGGACGAACCCCGGGCAGACCTGCCTGTGCGAGCAGGACGCGCGGGGCTTCCCACGCCGCCCTTCGGGCCCTGGTCACTTCTGAGCGGAGCTGCACACCTGTCTGTGCGTGCGACCTGCGTGCAGACCGCTGCCCTTCGCTTTCGGCGCTCAGGCTCCTGGGCCCCAGGTCGGGTACCTGTCTCTGACGGCCCACACGGGGGCTCCAACCCACACCCCCCACCATGCCCTGTACATTTTGGTGAGGACGAGCCCAGCCACATCCCGAGCTCCTGGAGAGCTAATTGAGGAAAACAAACGAATGCAGCAGACCTGTCAGGAACACTTAATGTGGACGTGGTGGTCACAAGCATGTGGGTGAATTCTGTGTGTACTAGTGGGGCGTGTGTGCAGGTCAGATCACGTGCATGACTCTACTCTGTTCATGCGTTTCTGCATGTCCACGTGCACCTCTGCCTCTTCTGCTGTGAGACATCCCCTAGCCCCCACATGCACCTGGGGGAATCACGCAGGCTCTTGGGCAAAGAAGGCAACACTCAGCTAGTTGCAAGCCTGGCCTTCTGTTGAACCAGGCAACCACATTTTCCCTAGCCCCAGCCCGCCCCAGTACTTCCCCCTGGGGTCCTGGAACAGACATCCCCCCTGCCCGCTACAGCCTACTTGGAGTTCGTGCGCTGCCCCAGCCAAGCCCCTTTTAGTTACTGAGCGCTGCACCGCCACTATGGCTGGGCACTGAGCCAGGTTCTAGAGCTGCGGAGAGAAGGGGAAAGCACCCTGAAGTTCACAGTGGGGCGGGCGTAGGAGAGGGTCAAGCTGGCTCCTTTGGGCAAGCAGGTATCCATCCATTCGAGAGGGAGAGATCTGAGGGGTCTGGAACGTGCCCGAGTAAATGCGTGAGTGCGTGCGTGAGTGGGCGAGGTAGGAGAGCGATGCAAGTGTTTGGATCGCGCCTGTGCTCTGGAAGGTTTGTCTGCCCTTGGCCTGGACCCCGGTGGGTACCCCAGGAGAGAGCAGGACGCCCCCACCCCGCCTCCAGACGGAGGGACCCGACTGTGCCTCGCGTGCCCACTTCCGAAGACCGGGCCGCGCACGGGGACTCTCGCCCGGGAGGGGGCCGCGCCCAGGTGCGCACGGACGCCCCTCGCCGGGCAGACGCCTTCTGCTCGCGCAGACCCGCGCGCCGCCGCCACCCCCCAGAGCTCCCCGGGCGCCCC